ATAATCTTAGCTTTAATAATTTTACTCATACCTCATCTTACAACAACTCCTTTGAGGATATTGGTTTAACAGGTATTGTTGGCAGCAAAAACACATTTGGGAATAAAAATATAAATAATAATGATAATAAAAACAATAATATTGGTGATGGTAATAGTAATTTTGATAACATAGTCAATAATAATAATAATAACATCAATAATAACAATAACAATATAAATAGCATTAATAATAATAATAATAATAATAATAATAATAATAATAATAATAATAATAATAATAATAATAATAATAATAATAATAATAATAATAATAATAATAAAAATAATAAAAATAATACCAATAACAGTATAAATAGTAGTAATAATAATAATAATAATAATAATAATAATAATAATAATAATAATAATAATAATAATAATAATAATAATTTAAATAACATAATTCAAGATAGCTATACAACAGCAAATGCATTACTATTTCTTTATAAAAAAATATTAAAAGAAAAAGATCCTCACATCGATGTAGACAACAATGGTATCGACTATTCAGAAAGCTACAATCGACATAGTTTAAAATATTTTGATGGTATCACCAATAGAAAATTTATGGACTTTGCCAATCCTTGGGAGGGTATCACCATATCTCGTCAATATAAAGTTTTCTTGGGCTGTCTCAAAGTGCTTCTAATAGTGGACTCTAAAGGGAAAAATATTTTATGGAATGGTTCAAAGAAAATAAAAGAGTTGGTCGAAATTTCTTATCACTATTATGAAGCTGGCCATTCTAGTAATTGTAAATATTGTGCAAAGTCAGCAAATAAAAATATCCAATTTGCGAGTTTGTTACTAAAAGAAACAGTTTGCTATAGATTTGTAAAGTTTTTAATTTTCAAATATAAAGATAATAATGATGTAAGTAATTACCAACTTTGTAAAATCAATATAAATTCATATTAATTTTTTTCTTTAAATTTAGGCATTTTTCTCTTACAGCGATATGGGCATAAATAATAAGAATGTTTTGTATTTATATGCTTTAATTTTAGAGTTTTGGAAAATCATTGAAAAGAGAGATGGTAAAAATGCAGCTTGTGGGAATCGTTTTAAATGGTCAAGTGAGTTTCATATTTCAGACGAAGAATTTATCGAAATCGAAGAAAGATGTCCAAACAAATAAAGAAATAAAGAAATAAAAACCAAACTATGGTATAACATATACTATATTTAAAAAAAAAAAAAAAAAAAAAAAAAAAAAAATGGAAAAAATGGAAAAAAAAAAAAAAAAAATTTATATTTTTACAAAATTTATTTTTATTTATATACTACTCATTAAAACTACAATCGGAACCCCTATTAATACAACCAAAATAGTAGATGGAACACCAAACTTTAAATACTCTAAAAAGCCAATTACATGATGAGCTTTAGCTTTTTCAGCCACAATTAAATTTGCAACACTACCCACCAAAGTAAGATTACCAGCAACGGTGGAAACAAAAGCCAACAAAAGCCATGTAAAATTTGGAACGTTTGCATCCAACAATCTAGGAGATAAAGATAACACCAACGGTACATTTCCCAAGACATTACTTAAGACCAATACCATTATCGAGAAAATGAACACTTTAAAAATATTTATATTTTTGTCATCTAGAGGTACAAATGGCTCCAGCACTGTCCAAGCTTCCTTTGCAAACTGACGATCAAACCCATCAACCAAAACAAATAAACCCGAAAAGAATAATAGCAATTCCCAATCTACAGATTTTATAATTTCACCAATATCATTATTATGCTCGATCATCATTAAAATTGAAACACCAAACAACACCGTAAAACCCATGTGCAGCCCAACAAAAAACCCAACCAAAATTAAAAATAAAATTATTGAAACCCTTATCTCAATTAATTTTTTTAAAATTTCTAAATAAAACTTTGGGTTCTTTAAATTTTCGAAAAAATTATTTTTATTGTATTGATTAAATTTACCATCATTGTTATTATTGCTGCTATTTTGGTCATTAATGTCTACATCTAGTAGTCGATCCTCATTATCTTCGCTGTACAATGTTGGGGTTGATATAATTATTATATTACTACTGTTATTGTCAATATTATAACTTCCTGTTATAATATCTTCAGAATTGTCATTATTATTATTATTACTATTAGTATTATTATTATTTATACTATCGTTATTTTGAATACTGTTTTCTTGGGTTAATTTATTATAATTTAAACTATTCTCCTGTTTGATTTCTTTTTCATTTCTGCTATTGTTTTTGGTTAAAGATTTTAAACTAATTTGTTTAGTAAGATCTACTGTAATTTCAAATTTTGAAAGATTTTTCTTGAAATAAAAATATAATAAAACTGAGTTTAATAAAACACCTAAAAAACTAGAAACAACTGAAACTTTGAAGAAATTTAAAAACTCCAAACCACCTGCTGTAGCAATAATCTAAAATTAAAACTATATCAGTATCACTAATTTTATTATTTTTATTTAATATATTTTTATTTACCATATTTTGTGGATTGCCAACTGGTAATGATGCACTACCTATATTTGCGCTAGTTGCCACTGCCATTAAATAAGGAAAATAAGGTAAACTTGTTGTTTCGCATGCTTTGATAACAATTGGGGTGAGTGTGACGCAAACAGTATCATTTGTTAATACTGAGCTCATCACAGCAGATATAATGCAAACCCTTATTAAAAATACAAATGGTGTTTTACATTTATATAATAAAACATTTGATGCCAACCCCCATATATTTGCCTTCTCCATATAGTTTGATAACATCATCATTGACATTAATAATATAATTGTATCCCAATTAACCACTGAACCAATTTCTTTAGGTGGCACAATACCAAACATAACCATTAGTGTTGCCCCTATTAAGGAATATCCAGCACGACCTATATTTATATTCTTTATTTTAACACATATTAAAAACAATGATACAATAAAAATAACCAATGCAAAATATGGTTTAACTGCTTCATTTAAATTAAAAACACTATTACTCATAATATTTATTATTTACAATTTTTTATTTATTATTTATTATTTACAATAAAAAATAAATAAAAAAATTAAAAAAAATATATTAAAAAATTTAAAAAATAAAAAAAAATAAAAAAAAACGAAAAATATTGCAATAACAAATCAAATCAAAAAAAAAAAACAGATAACTAAATAAAATAAAATAAAAAAAAAATAAAAAAATAAAAAAAAAAAAAAAGTCAAATTAAATTTTATGGTATTTTATCTTTTGAATTGTTTATATTAGATCATTAATTTTTTTTTTTTTTGATCAATATAATAAATAATTTTTTCTTTTTATTGTTATATTACAACAAATCGTTGTGATACAGGTTTTAAAAAAAATATTTGAAAATTTTAATTATCTTTTGAGGCCATTGGTTTTTTGACATAATCTGGATCATTACCCATTTTGTATAAATAGCTATAAGAGTTTAAAAAAAGAAATGAAATTAATATTTATTCATAACATGGTAAAAACATAATAAAAAAACAAAAAAAACTTACTTGATATGTGAAGTAATTGCTTCAGTAAAAGTTGGTTTAATGTGATAAGTAAGATTATATTCTTTGCAAACGTCTTTAAGAATTGGAACTAATTGTGGATAGAAATCTTGACAAATTGATGGGAACTATAAAATTAAAATAGAAAATTTTTATATTAATTATTATATTATACTATATTATTAATATTATTAAAAATACATACTAAATGATGTACAACTTGGTGATTAAGACCACCAGAGAAGAAGGTACAGAGTACAGAGCCGTGACCATAATCTTGAGTAGTTTTAATTTGAAGAATAGCCCAATCTTCATTGATTTGTGCTGGTTCATCTGGTTGTTCTGGGGTACCATAGAATTTAAGATCTTCAGCAACGTGTGAAACTTGGAAATTAATAGTGAGATACCAACCGAAAATAGTTTCACAGATAACAAAGTAGACTAATAAGTCGAATAAATTGTGATAACGAAGTGGTAAAATGAAACGGAAGAAAATGAATGAGATTTTACCAATAACGTAAGCGGCTAAATCAAAAGTACTGGCTGGTGATGTTCTGATAGCACCATTTTTACCACCTTTAAGGAAAGCTTCATAATCTTGAAGACGATATTTGTAAGTGTAGAGACCATAAAGGATTGGGGCATAAATATGTTGGTATTTGTGGTACCAGGCACGAGTTTGGTATGGGGTAACAATACGGAAATCAATTTCACCTTGACCAAGATCTGGATCAGCATTTCTAATATTAGTGTAGAGATGATGACCAATAACGTGTTGATGACACCAGGCATAGAATGATGCACCAGTGAAAAAGTCGAATGAGGCACCCATCCATTTCCAAACGGTTGGTGAATGTGAAACAGCAGCGTGACATGAGTCGTGCATCATATGCATACTAAAGAGTGAATTAGCAAGAGCATAGAGAACAGCAAAGAAACAATTAAGGTAAAAATTGTTGGTGGTGTAATGTGCAAGAATATAGGAACAAATAATTAAAACATAAACTAAAGCTAAACGTGAAAAGATGGCAACTGCTTTTTGTGGATCTTGATCAGTTGTTTTGAAGTGTTTTCTAACACGATCTTTTAAGGTTTTGTAGAAATCTGATTTTTGAACATATCTTGGATGTTCGTATGATGAAATAAAACCAATTTCGTAGTTCTTTAAAATTGCTGATGGTTTATCTGACATTGGATGATAACTTTCAAATAAATTTGTAACATCTCTACCTGCGCCTAACATTAAAACTTCTTTACCACCTGGATGTTGTGAAACCCATCTAATGAAAAAATAATAAAAAAAAGAATAATTAATATAAACATACTTTTTTTTTCTATTTTTCTAAACCCAATGTAATCTTACTTTGAAATATCATAAACTTTACCATCAACTGCAACCCAACAATCATTTTCAGTGTTGTGTTTGGCAATTTCTGTCCAAGAATATTGTTTTCCTTGAATCTTTGACATCTTATATTAATTCCCTGTTGATTATTATTATTATTATTATTATATTTATAATTATAATTATAATTAGTACAAAATTTAATAAAAATTTAAATTTAAAAATAAAATTAAATGATATGAATTAAAAAATTTTTTAAAAAAAAGGAAAAAAAAAAAAAGGGAGAAAAAAATTAAATCATAGAAAGTGTGTGAAATTATTGTGTGGAAATTGTTGTGTGGGTGTGTGTGAAAAAAAAATTTTAAAGAAGTTTAAATTTAATATTAGAATGTGTATTAATATTCTGGGGGTTAGTGGGAAGGTGTGTATATGCATTTGTGCATTTAAGCAGATGTGCAGTGTGCATGTTTATACGATGTTATTTTTACAAATAGGAAAGGGAAAAAAAAAGAAAAAAGTAAAAAAAAACAAATGTGCAACAATATCAAATTTTCTATTATTAAAACATTGTATTTTTTTTTTATGTTTCATTTTACAAATATATATACATATATAATTTAATTTATAATAATTTATAATTAATTTATAGGCACATACCAAAAATACTATTAATACAAAAGTTAAAAGATAATATAAAAAAGAAAAAATAAAAAATTATAAAATTTTTAAAAAAAAAAGCTTTTTAAAAATTTTTTATTTTATAAAAAAAAAATAAAAATAAAATAAAATATAATTTAAAAAAAAAAAAACGAAAAAAGCTTTTTGTGATGATATAAAACTTCTCAAAAAGGTTTTCACATAGAAACCTTTATTGATACGTTATTTTATTTTTAATTTTCATTTATTTTTTTATTAACCAGTTTGATTTTTTTATTATTTTTTTTTTTTGCACCAAATGTCCCAATGTTGCACAGTCATAAAAAAGAGATCTCTTGGGGTTTTTTTTTTTTTTTTTTTATGAAGATCTCTTTTTTTATACAAAATATCTTTATATATCTTTTTTTTTTTAAAAATTTTATTTTTTCAAAAAACTATTCCGACCAAAAAAAGTGATTGTAAAATAAATTATAAAAATAAAACACTACAGAAATAAAATAAAAATTTCATCAAATAATAATAATAATAATATTTTTTAAATTAAACAGAGAAAAAAAAAAAAAAAAAAAAAAAAAAAAAATTGGGGGGGGGTTTTTTTCCATTTTGAAATATCCTTTATTTTCCAAAAAAAAAAAAAATCCATGTTTTTTTTTTGCCAGGGTATAAACAAAAAATTAATTTTGGGTGGGGATTTGGGGGGGTGGCTTTTGGGGACTTCCTTTTTGGGGGGTTTGGGTTTGGGGTTTTGGGGGGCCATTACCAGCCTTTTTATTGTTTCTAAAAAATTGCCAATGAAAAAATTGTTTGTCCGGGACAAAAACCTGTTGCCGGGGCAGGGTCCACCTCTGGTCAAAACCTTTCCCCTTGAAAGAGATCAAAAAAAAAAAAAGGCTTGGGGGTTGGCAAAAAATTGGACGATTTTGGGTTCTTTCCAATACAAAAATAGGTTAAAATAGTTCACAAATCGCTTTACCTGAAAATTTCTATTTGGAGCTAAACCAAAAATAAAAAAAT